TACCTAGGAGAAGCTCTCTGTGCCATGTGCCATAGTGCATTGTGCATCCGCTACGAGCATGGCTAGAATTTTACAGTATTAAGTCACGAATATAAAGTAAAAATGAGGAGAAAACAAAAGAGAATGAAGGAGTGGCGAAAAAGTTGTGCTAGGGCTTGAAGAAACTAATTGCTAGGAGTAAATTAGAGCTCATAAACACCCAAGGTAAGCTTCCTAGCTTAAATCTTCCTCTCTTCTTCCATTTTCTTGATGGTAAATGTTAGGGTTTGATTTCTAATGATGATTTTCAGTCCCTAGAGGTTATGGGTCCTAACCTATTGACTGAAATAGATTTAATGGGGGTAGATTGAGCTAAATAAACTGAATATTTATAAATTTATGATGATTGGTGGTTGGAGGATATTAAATGTCCGAAATTCTCATAAATTTGGTGGTTGAGAATAATATGGCTTTATTAATGCCCATTTGAGAGGTCAATGTTATTAATAAGAGTTAAAGGAAGCTAAGAAGCCTTGTGGGTACTTCTACATGAGCTTAGAGCAAATCTTGAGTCTTAAGAAATGATGAAATGTTAATGAAAAATAGCTCAAAATGGATATTGATGTTTTGCATGGTAAATGCTTACTGTGTAACTACTATTGGCACCATTCAAGCTTCTTGAAAGTTTTGGGAGTGAATTGTTGAGGAATGAAACCTTTGACCTCTCAAAGGTTTAAGATGATCGGGAAAATTCTATCTTATGCTTGTGTGTGTCAATTAGTTTATTGATTTATGAATTATTATTGAAATGTAAAAACTAGAGAAAATGCAAGTATGGCTTAATTTGTGAAGAAATCTACTAGATCAAATTTGGAAGTTTTATGTATCATGATGCAAATTTTCCTTGAAAACAAGAGTGGTGGATTTTCGTATTAATGTTTACTGAGAGTGCAATGATTTTGACAAATTGAGAAGTAAAATGAATCTTCATTATGAGAAGTTTAATGATTTTTGAAAATAGAAAAGTTCAATGATTGTGTAATGATGAAGTTCAATGATTTTAAAAGTATGAGGTACAATGATTGTGATTTGGGAGTTCCATGACTAATTTGGTTTTGATGTTCCATGAAATTTTGTTTGAGAAGTTCAATGATTGTGTAAGGATGAAGTTCAATAAAAAGTGATAATGTGAAGTCTATGAATTGCATACTATGAATCATATATGTGTAAGTTATGGCATAAATGTCCATTGCATGACCTTGAGAGGGGGGAGTTTGCCTAGGGAGTGGAGTAGATGAGAAATCCACATGGTAAGGCCCCATCCATGTGATAGATTATCTAGGTTGATTCTATCCATATCGTCCCACTTGTTCAATGAGGGATTATCCCGCTGGTTCAACAAGGGACTTGAACTAAGCTAGTTATCCATCGATTTAATGAGAAAGCTAGTCTAGGGTGTATGACACCCTATGGTGTGAGAAATGGAGGAGACCGTGATCTATAAGTGAGTTGGGTACACCTTGGCCGGGTGATCCCTTTACAAGTGTTTAGGTTAGGGAAGTCAAGGAATATAGACTGTCCTATTGAGTTATAGCCCACGGTTTCATGTCAGAGGAATAAGGAGAATATAAAAAAGGTGTGATCATGCATATAGTAAGAAAAGATACTTGGTGTCTATATTAAATCCATAATATGGATATGTTTAATTGGATAATAATTTTTTCCATTAGGCTTGTCAGTGACTTGTGTGAGCAATTCTATTTATATGAAAAATGCTAAAGGCATTGTCTTTCCAAGTAAATGCAATTATGTTAGCTAAGTTGTGAATTCTTATTTCAAATGTTACTCATGGGTTAAAGTAATAATACTTTCTGCTACTTGCATTTAAATCAATTGTTATGCATTAGTATGGGCTAGTCAGACTTTAGTTACTAAGTAGTTATACTCACCCCATTATCTTTAATATTACAGGAAATAGCTCAAAAAGTGGAGATAGAGGAAAATAACTCGAGGCTTAGGACCACATGTCTTTTGTAATAGGCCTCCTTACTTTTAGTAATTTATGTGTATGACAATTTCGATTGCCAACTACGTTTTCCCTTCTTATTACTTACATGCATCAAGTGAAAGTAAATTGTAATGGTATTTTGGGCCCTAGGGAGAGAGAGTTGAATGTTATGTGTTATGTTGATAGGGTTAAAATACTAATGCAAGTAAAGGTAGGGCATATTATGTGATGATGTGGGAAATCTTGATGAAAATTGTGGTAAACTCCCTTTTCTTATGATTTTGAGTTAAGGGGTTGAGTAGTGAAAATTTAATCTAAAAATATTTCTTGTGTTGTGATGCTTTGCATGAGTTAATTTTGTTGAGTTGTATGTGGTCGTTTGGTGTCGGTGGCTATTGGTCTTGAATTTTGGAATAGGACACTCAAAATTGCGAAAGTTGAGGTAAAGGAGTAAGTTTTGAAAAGGGTGTCCAATTCTTGTTGTAAAAATTATTTGAGCCTGGGACCAATGCCAATCAATAGTTAGAGCCCGAAAAGAGTTTTCCATAGACTCCTAATTCACATCATTCGAACGTTGGATGGAGATTTGGGGTGCGTTGGAAGTTGGCCTTAAAGCTGTTAAATTGACAAACTCACTGTTAACATTCGTGCATTTGCACCACAACGCATGGTGTCACAAGCTGCGGCGTGTGTCATAAAGGCGAACACGTTACGGCGCATCTTTATCGAGCCGCGGCGCACGCCTTTTCAATTTTTAAAAGTTTTCTTGTTCCAGATTTTTGCACCTATGTAATCATTTATGTGATAATCCCTTGCTTCCACATATTTACGAACTCTGTTTTGCCTTTTTACAAGACTTGATTTGACTTAGATTTAAAATCTTGGGGTCCCTATTTTTGATAGCCAATGAGAATTTTATATTCAATGGTTTTTTTTTATCATCTCATTTTCCTAATTTCTTGAGATTTGGGTTCTAATAATGAGATAAAAGGAGGAAGATATTACAGTTACAAAGTAGATGATAGGCAGTACAAGCATGAGAATAATTTGGGCAAATTTAAAAATGCATGGGCAATATTAGGATTAGTTGGAAGCAACGACAAGTTTGAAGAAATCAATTGGTGGCAAGCCCAACTAGAGCACCCAACAAGAATGAGCATAAGCCAAGCCAAAAAAAAAAAAGAGGAACATGAAGAAATCAAAAATCAAACTAGTTCTAAAACACAAAAATTAAACAAAAAAAAGGGGAACATGAAGGCACAATGAGAATATTAAAAAAAAATTGCCTTAGCATGATGAAGGCTTCTAGAGCTTTGGGTTTAAGGATTTGCTACCTAGGCATTGCAAAGCCTTATGGGTTTAGGAATTTTTTGGGTTAAGTAGGTTATGTAATTTTTGCATTCGAATGGAGAAGAGGGAGAAGACAAGGATGAGGATGAAGGGAGAAGAGGAAGAAGATGAAGACAAGGACAAAGCTAGGGAGAAGACAAGGAAGACAAGGAGCTGGAAGATTGACCTTGGAATGATGAAGATTGAATTGGAAAAATGTTTGAACTTAGGAAGGAAGATGTGGATGAACTAATGCAATTGGGCTATGAAAAGAGGTTGTGATGTTCAGAAAGACTTTCTAGACCGGTTGCACCAAATAATCAATCTAGAAAGTAATTTAAAATATTTTTTAATATTTAAATACCTTCTACACTAGCTAAACTATATAATCGATCTAGAAAATCATTTTTAAAATTATTTTTCACAAAAAATTGGGTGTCTTGCAAACTAGTATAGAAAGCAAAAAATTCAAAAAAAATTAAATAATTTTCTAAATTGGTTGTTTGTAAAACCAATTTGGAAAGTTTTTTTTTTTTTTTGAAAAACTCATTCTCTAGATCGATTGTGTTGGCAATCAGTCGAGAAAATATTTTTAAGAGCATTTTCTTTTATAACCAATTTAGAAAGTCTTGACAAATGCCAGTTAATTACAATACTACAACACTTCTACTTCATAAACCATCTGTACAAGAATCAATTTAGAAAGCCAAGTTTGGATAAATAGCTAAGTTTAGATAACTATTTATCTGCAAATGTCACAAGGGCTAGGCATACAAATTACCTTCTAATAAAGTTTTCACATTGACAGTGGGATATGAACCCACGACATTGTAAGTTATAGGTCAAATCTTAACCATCTGAATCAATCTTTGTTAGTAATTTGAAATATATTTTTGGAGCAATGTCAATTATTCTATAAATATTTTTATTCACTCTTTAAGTTATAAACATGGTGCTAAAACCCAACTCAAATTGACAGGCTAGGGTAGTGAATAAGTGACTAGTCTTATAGTCAATTCGGTCAAGAGTTTTGGATCGGGTCAGCTAGGTTGGATTTTAATTTTTGTTCTTTGTTCTTTGTTGAGCTTGAAGCAACATCTTTAAATTAAAAATAAAAAAGAAAAAAAGAATAACCTTATACCAAATTTGTGCTTTGGTAACTCAGTTTTGTTGGATGATATATATTTTATAAATAAATGTCCTTTTTATTCATTGATTAATATCTTTTTTATTTGAACATTACTCTTTTTAAGATTATACATGAATATCTTTTATATATTTCAATTAAATTAAATTATTTTAATTTTAATTGGGTTATGGTTTAATTATGATTGGATCACTAACTTTAAACTATTACATCAACTTGTTCAATGACGAATCCACCTTTGATATTCAATGTCTTTGTATGAAGCTAACCTGCTAAACACTTGTACATATTTTCTACTTCAATAATAAATGGGACCTGGGCTAAGGCTTGGTCCAACCAAAACGGCTAAACCTTATACTCAGGGGGGCCGAAAACCCAAATACATAAATAAATAAATAAATAAATAACATTCAGCTCAAGAACGCTGCAAAATCAATGTTTGCGGCATAGTGAGGAAACTTACGTGTAAGATACTCGCGGGTGAGTGCGTAGTGCGTATATATATAGTGATTTCTAACCTTCGCTCCTTCGTCTCCGAACTGACACCTCATCATTGCTTCGGAAAAGGCAGATACAAGAGGACGCAGAAGAAACTCTCACAGGAAAACAAAGCTTAAATTATGCTGCTTCATTCCTCTCCTTCTCTCTCCTCAATTCTTCATTGAAAACGAAAACCCCTCGCTCCGACTTCATATTCCACCTTCGTCATCATCATCATTCAGATTCCCACTCTCGATTATTTATTCTTTTACTTTGGGATTCTGCGCTCTTGTTGACGGATGCAGACGCAATTTCTGGAATCGTTGATGCCTGTTATATGTAATCACCGCTTCCCTGGTTTTATGATTGGATCTGCGATGATCATAATGCACTGATCGGAGACTTGTTAAGTTTTGTTGGATTCTCTCGATGCTTTCTTTCTTTCTTTCTTTCTCTCCCAATTTTGTGGTTGCGTATTCAGCAAGTGTGCTTGTCGATTGCGTTACTCATAATTTTGGTGATCAGGGGGAAGTCAAACAACAATTTCTTTTTCAATTGAAAAAAAATTGATTGCGAGCCTGTTTCTGTGTTTCAGTATTCAGGACCGGTTTGCTGGTTTGATTCGTTTTTTATTGGGGGTAATCTCAGTTGAATTATTATGAGTTCACGTGGATTGTGTTTTCTTCAACTTGGATTTCGGAATTCCTTTCCTTCTGAGTTTCTTTTGGGTTCAGAATATCCTCTCGTTTGAGAATACTATTCTTCTGCTCAAAGTTTTCGCCTTGCATTGGCGTTTTTCAGCTGTGGCTTCTGCTCACGATTTGGGTGTTTTCCTAAATCTTTTTTTTTTTTTAAACAAAATGATGGATGCTGATTTTCTTACGTCCATTGCTCTGATTTCTTTTTCCAATTGGTTTTTGGGACAAAATATGGCTGTCTGATCTTCATCCATATGGATTAGTGACATACCAATGGCTTGAATTCTGTCTCTACAGAATGCTTTATGGTGTTATTATTGATCATGTCACATTAAATGGAGACAGTTTGCCCATAATACAGCTTTCTTTACTTTGTGTCACCTAAGGAGGTTTTATAAGCAGTTTTTTCCTTTGTAGGTTTGAGACCTGAGATTTGCTAGTCAGTTATAAATTTAAGGTACACACTTTTGTTTCAGATGCTGTAACATTAGAGAGGAACAGAAAATTAATGTAATAATAAAATTTGCACATATTTTCGTAATTTCCAGAAATTAAAGACCTTTTTCTTCTGCGAAGTGTGGGCACTGCCTACTTCACGCAGTGCCCATGGACGCCACTACTAGTGGAACCCCAACTTTGCAATACCATAGCATTCCTGATCAACCAGTTACTGCCATTGTTGCCACATCTCTACCAACATTTCAAAGACAACAACGCCATTGCTATGGAAACTCCAGTCCTGGGGAGTTTCCCTTGTCTGCTAGTCACCCTCATATTGTTCTTCATGTCCTGACAGCATGTAACTTGGATCCTGAAGATTTTGCTAGGCTGGAGGCAAGTGATGTACTTTTAATTGTGAAATCCTAATTGAGGGGAACTGAATTTTATATCTTTGGTTTACTTTTGGCCCCATTTAATGTGGTGCTGTTGCAGGCAACGTGCTCCTTTTTTAGGCAGCCAGCAAACTTTTATCCTGATTTCAATTTGTCACTATCCGAACTTGCTGCGTTGGATATGTGCAAGAAGAGAGCCATTTTTAAGCCAATGACCAGTGAACAACAGCAAGAGTTGAAGCAATTATGTGGAGGCTCTTGGAAACTTGTTCTGAGGTATTTACGGGCTGGAGAAGCATGTTGCAGGAGGGAGAAATCGCAGGCGATTGCAGGTCCTGGTCATAGTATTGCGGTGACATCAAAAGGTTTTGTTTACTCATTCGGCTCCAACAGTTCTGGACAACTTGGGCATGGCACCACTGGATGGGAATGGCGCCCTCAGCCTATCAGGTTGGAGCAGTTTTGCTCCTTAGTCCTCACAGCTTGTCCTTTAAAACTAAGGAAAACTAGAGACTGAACTGTTTGATTTGAAGTTAATAGAAATCCATTGTGTTGCAGAGCTTTGCAAGGCATTCGGATTATACAAGCAGCTGCTGGGGTTGGGAGGACAATGTTGATTAGCGATTCCGGGCAGGTATATGCCTTTGGGAAAGACTCCTTTGGGGATGCTGAGTATGGAGCACCAGGAGCTAATTCCATTGCAACTCCACAGTTGGTAGAGTCTCTGAAAGGCATATTTGTGGTTCAAGCTGCAATTGGAAACTTTTTTACAGCTGTATTGTCAAGAGAAGGCAGGGTTTATACATTTTGTTGGGGTAGCGATACCAAACTTGGCCACCACACTGATCCAAATGATCAGGAACCTCATCCTTTATTAGGAGCTCTTGAACACATACCAGTGGTGCAAATTGCTGCTGGATACTGCTATCTTCTTTGCCTAGCTTGTCAACCAAGTGGAATGTGAGCTCAAATTTTTTCTCCATGTGTTGGACTGTTTCAAATTTTAAGACAACTCGTTGGTTGTTTCAATGCCTCAGAAGAACTTGAATAAATTTGAGAAGCACATTAAATCAATTGAAAAACACAAATAGAAGTAAAACGTGCTGTTAAACAGTGTTGTTTTGTCACATCAGCACAAAAATGCCTGATTAGTGGCATGACCATTTGAGTGTTCACTGATTGTTTGATCCTCTCTTGAAAACATAACAGGTCAGTATACTCTGTTGGATGCGGCCTGGGTGGAAAGCTTGGACATGGTTCAAGAACTGATGAGAAACAGCCCCGTTTGATCGAACAGTTTCGGCTTTTAAACCTTCAGCCCATGGTAGTTGCTGCTGGTGCTTGGCATGCTGCTGTAGTGGGGCAGGATGGCCGAGTATGCACATGGGGGTGGGGCCGTTATGGGTGCTTGGGTCATGGAAATGAAGAATGTGAATTAGTACCTAAAGTAGTTGAATCATTGAGCAATGTCAAAGCTGTTCACGTTGCTACTGGAGATTACACAACCTTTGTGGTGACTGATAATGGTGATGTGTATTCATTTGGCTGTGGAGATTCTGCTAGTCTTGGGCATAACCCTGGAAATGATGGACAGGTCTGCTTTGCTTCTGCCTTTCTCCTTATTTCAGGAGTTTTATTTCTCCCTCCATGAACAAGTTTTGATTTTTTTTTCCCCCAGCGCAATGAACAAAAAATTAGGCAAAGTTTTCAGGTATTTGCAGGCAGGTTCTTCTTTGAAAAACATGACAAATGAAGAACTTCTATAATTTATATATATATATATATATATATGTATATTTTTCAAGATCATCCTTACATGACTCATGACTATCTTTTAATAAAGTATTGCAACTTATGTTTGTGTAAAGAAATGTAATAGCAAACACGTTGCCAATGTTACCAAAGTTATATCCCAAAGAACTTGTGATTTTCCAATGTGAAAGTAAATTCTTCCATTTGGAGCTAAATAAGATGTCAACATTGATGCCTATTTGCCATTCAATGCAGTTTGTGCATATAACAAGATCAGGCTCCATGCATTTACATGGATCTTGAGATGAGTTGCATTATTCACGGCTTAAAACCAGAGACACTCCTAAATGATTTATGCATTGGTATCGATAATTTAGACTCAGGATCATGAATTGTTGAAGTTACTAAACAATGTCATGTCTCTGTGCAGGCCAATGGGCACGCGAATGTTTTAACTCCGGAGATTGTAATGTTGCTGAAACAGGCGAATGAGAGGGTGGTACAGATCAGTCTGACAAATTCTGTGTACTGGAATGCACACACATTTGCACTTACTGAATCTGGGAAGTTGTTTGCATTTGGGGCTGGAGACAAAGGACAGCTAGGAACACAGCTTGGGGAGGACCAGACTGAAAGGGGGGAGCCAGAAAGGGTTGATATTGATCTAAGCTGACAAATTCTTTATATCCTATTTATTATCATCATCACCATGCATAGCATTTAGTGTTTAAATGTCTCTGTTTATTCTGTAAATAGAATCAAAGAAAGCTTCATATCAAGGTCTAAGCAGGGTAATCAAGTCTCAAGGGTTGCTGTTGCTATCATATATATGGTCTTTGGATAATTTATCGTTAGGCTTTTAATTAGTCCTTCATAGTTTGATGCATTGTGAATGGTCATTTACTGCTTAGTTGCTTTGAATTGTTTTCATAGATATTATTTTCCTTTTCTTTTGCTTCTTTACATCCATGTTCACTTTCTGGTTTGGACTTTTTAGTCATGTATTTGATGAAGAAAATAACAATTAAAAAAAAAAGAAAAGAAATTCAACAGGTATATAAGGGGTAGGCAAGCATCAAAATTGCACATTTGATGCTTTGTGATTTGTTTTAGTTGGGGTTCTCCCCCATCTTTCTGGGGTGTTTATAAAATATTATCTTAGTTTGCATCATTTTAATATCTTGTTTATAAACATCAACTTCGATTTCTATTTTGAAGTTTTCTTACCAATCTTCCTTCCCAGTTTTGGTCTTTAGCTGAATCTTGCAAGCACATCATGGCATGAACCATATTATCTAGAGATGGAACGTCTTTCTTTCTTCCTTCCCATTTTCTTTTCTTTTTTGTAAGCCATATCAATGGCTTACAAAAACTTAACTTATTAAATCACTTGTGATGGCTAAAAACTAACCAAAAAATTTGCAAGCGTACGGACTGAATCAATTAGTATAAAAGTGAATTGAATATGGTTCCATGAGGAGTTGAATTTAATAGTGATTAAGCAATGATGAGGAAAATAAAAATATGAGGAAAATGTAGGTACAAGTCATGAATTAAGTTGCAAAATGATGAGGCTTCTTTAAGATAAATTCCAATGGTCAAGAGTGATCTAAAACAACTAATTCCCTTCTTACTCAATTACTTTAGCTAAATGGACATCGTTAATTGAGATAATTTATTAGTTACATTAACTATCTTCCCTTATATTTTTGAAGATAATTTAAAATTCTAAAATATAATACTCCATTCATTTTAAACTATAAGATACTTTTGAAAATTTTTTTTGTTTTAAAGTATAAGACATTTTGAGTAAATTAAGTTTTCATTAAATGTGCCAATTTTAATTTTACTCTTTTCTCTCTCTATAATTAATTTTCATCCATTCTCTTTTTAATATATTAAATTATGGGTATTTTTAAAAATTTATATTTTTATTTTGGAAAGATAAAGTTGTTAGGTATATTTAATGAGATTTATTGGTATGTAAGATTTTATCTAAAATGTCTTATAATTTGAGATGGATGGAGTATGTTTTTTAAAAAATAAGGATTTATTAATGATGATTATTCCAATTAAACTTTCATCTAATTCTCAATTAAATTAATGCATCCTAGTGCATTGGCTAAAGAATTAATTAAGTTAATTGAGATTGGGTTATAATTACATTGGGTGAAGCATTCTGTCACACAAGCTGTGGGTTGGCATAAATTTCCTAAGGGAGGCTGGAACTACTCCCTCCCATCAATATTATAAGAAGTATTTTTTAAAATATCATGTTAAAAATATAAGTCATTTTGAATTTTTTAATGTATAATTAATAAATTTTTTTGAAAAATATCATTAATTAGGGGTGTAATTATTAAGATTTTTTAATTGAGATACTATATTATATAAGGGTAAATATGTAAAAAATTTATAATTTTAAAAATAATTACCTAATTCATTGAGACTATAATTTAGTTAAAAATATCTTATAATAAATGAAGGGAATACTTCGTTTGTTTTGTTTCTTTGGCTTATTTTCATATTATCAAAAATTTAACTACACCCTCCGTCACAATTTATAATGAATTTTTTAATAAAATTATACAAATCAATGAAGTTCACTTAAATATAGTTTTTAAGACATTTTCCCCCAATTTATAGGGAATTTTCTTGGTAAAATTACACAAATCAATGATGTTTATTAAATATAGTTTACAAGGGAATATTAGTTTGTTTTGTTTCTTTGGTTTATTTCCATTCTATCAAAAAAAAAAAAATAGATCCTTCATCTTAATTTATAAGACATTTCAATAAAACTACACAAATCAATGAAATTCATTAAATATAGTATACAATTTTAATTTTTTTTTTACAAACTTTCAAAAATACATTTTATTAATAAGAGAGTGAAAAAAATTATTTGAGGAGTGAAATGATAAGATTGGATGTTTCAATCTATGTTTCTTTGCATTATTTCACTCCTTAATTGAGAGTTAGATGAAAATCTAAACCTATGTTAATGATCATAGGTCCAAATTTTCTTTTCAAAGACAAACCCGAATCCCCCAAATGCAAAGAAACAGAGATTCAAACATCCAATGTCCAAATGATTAAGTTTAATTGATGAAAACACAACCTAACCCAACAATATATATTGTTCATAGAAGTTCTATATCCAAATTAATCTAGCCTCTGAACAAATAAAGAAATCTATGGAGACAAAGAAGAGAGGAGAAAGAATTGAATAATTGGTATGTATCTTCAAAATATTGATGATGCAAATTTCCTTCTCTGTTTTTTTTTTTAAATTTACATGGTGGATTATTGACGTGTTAGATGACCTTTTTAAGCTACATTTTTCCTATTTAATTTCCTTTATCAAGCTTCATCCGTGCAATACTCAGAGTCACCTAAAATTACAAAAACGTTAATGTAATGTTTAGTAGATAGAAAAATATTTTTTAGAAAGAAAATGAGAGATGTTACAATTCTTTTTTCTTTCTAAGTACAATTTTTTATTTCCTTTTTAAAAATAATTACAATTTTTTATTTCCTTTTTAAAAATAATTTTTCTTGTATCAAGCATGCACTAAATAAACAACTAGAAACACCCTAAAAACAACCAAACACATCTAAAAACTAATATTTACAACAAGGGAAATGATTAAATAAAATCTAATACTTAATGGAAAAAATTGAAACAGAAGAGGAAAACAAATTCCATAAATCCACTATACTTAAATAGCTCTTAAACCACAAATATATCATATCAATCGCCGATTATATCAATATCAATGTAAAATATGAAAATATATTGGAAGAGGCTTTATTTACCATGTAAGAATTGTATAATTTATAACTTGTGATCTTTCATCCCTTGCATCAAAACAATTTTGAGCATGTTTTGGATGGAAATTCTCTCCTTTTTTTCTCACTTCACTTCTCATATCAATCATTAAAAATCATATTTGAACAATTTATTAGATTTAATATTTTATAAATTTATTATTAAAGTGTGAAATTATGGGAAAAAACAAATAAAGAAATTAAAAATGCTAAACTTGATCCAAACAATTTAGCATTTCAACAAAGGAAACTAAAACTAAATTATTTTGTAAAATACTAAATTTGAAGTGTTGGAATTAATTTTATGATTGAGATGAGAAATGAAAATGAATAGAGACACCTTGCAAATGATCCCCAAGAGGAACCAGTAGGGATGGGGGCAAAAGGGATGGGGGCATATTAGTCCAATTCGCAAAATGTGCGATATAAAATGTACGTCTGGTTTTGGCTTTTTGGGATCCAATTAAAGCAACATTTGCTTAGTGATTAACCAAGATTTACAATGTGGAGAAATTCTTGGACGGACCTAATGCACTATATTATCCATATTTTATTCAATGAAAATATACCATTCAGGTAGTTATAAATATAAATTGATGATGAGAAAGAAAAAAAAAGTAAAATATTAAAGAGGTATTCTATTTACAAATTAAAATCACTAAAAAATGAGGTTTTATTTGATTGAACCAGTACAATTTTATTGGATTTCTCTCACAATGTGTTTTCTAGATTGGCTGAGCACTCCCATTATGGATAGAGTCTTTCCTTTTTAAGAGCATAAACTAATGGAAGACAATATGAAACTGTGTCAATCTCCCCATCAATGATGATTATCAGAATTATCAATATACTGTTGGTAGCAGCTTGGAACTAACAGGTGTTGATTTTAGCAAAAGTGATTATAACAGCTTAAACATAAAGTCTTGGATTCAAGTTCGTTTTAATGCATAAAACTTTTTTGAGAGAGCTACCCCCAATTAGATCTAGCAATGCTCAAACCTAACTTAATTAAATAAGCATATCAAAAAATAAAAATTAAAAAAAAAGCATGAATATTCATGTGGCATACATGTCTGCAAGATACTAAGAGAACTATGAAACCACAACTAGCCCTCACTTAAAGAAGGCCCAACAAGCTTTTCAGTTTCCTACGACTGTGCATATCATAATTAAATATATGATAAACTCACTACTCACCCGTCATGAACCAACCAAGGGTATTATATATAGTAGCTAGGCATATGGATCATGGTTTAATTTCCCTTCCCCATTGTAACCTTGAACTTGATTAGCCTAGATCACTTCTCGTAGTCAAGTTGGTTTTTTTTTTTTTTGGGTTTCTTATAGGGATCCTCCTATTGTGGAAGTAACCTTGTTTGAAATACTATCGGATATTAAATATAAGCATATTTTTCAACAAGATTTAAATATTGATTCATCAAGTTGTAAGAGACTAACACATTCTATTAGACTCAACTTTATTAGTTTGGAGGTGAATTGTAAAGTGAGTTGGCATATCACAAGCCACGACACCTATTGCGCAAGGCCCATATAGGTGTAAATGATCCAGTAGGTTGATAAATCACATACATTCACACCAAGGGATGATCATGCCACGTTCATTGGGCCATGGTCCAATACGAAGATAAATTAACATGATTTCAAGAGTACTTACATGATGGCATATGAGGAATTATATGTAACATATAATAAGAAGGGCATTTACATGATATAAAACAAGAATTACCACACTTGTTACCCTTCAAAACCAAGTTAGCTATCATGGTGAGCTATTTGAATATTTCCAAAAGAATGATGTTTTAATTTGGAGTAGACCCAAAGTGAGATTAATTCAAGACTCCAAGACCATAGATATTATCTTCTCTTCCATTTTTAAATGTAGACTTGTTCTATATTAGATTCAACATGGATTTATATCCTTTCCGTATTCTCTCTCTCTCTCCATTTCAATATCTCTCTACATATTTGGTCTCATCCATCCATTTAGTTATTCATTTGATTTAACAATATAATTAAGATGGTTAATTGTGACATTAAATTGAATGAATTATTCATTTAATTACTACCACAAAGAAGTATTATGGTCTTGTTTTTAAAAGCATTTAAGTGATGATAATAAATAT